GGGGGGGGGGGGGGGGGGGGGGATGGGTCGGGTGTGATTGGGAGGAGTATAAAATTGGTCAACATGGCTTTGCGAACGCAAACAGAACGAGCGGTCCGATGATATGTCTGTAAACGACGACCTTGACATTTCTTTTATCTCTCTCTCTCTCTCTCTCTCTCTCTCTCTCTCTCTCTCTCTCTATTTTTTTCATTTTTTTTCTCTACGTTTTCTCGATTTCTGGGAATGCACGACGCAGCATTCCCAAAAGCAACGTTCCTAACGAGGAACAAGGATCGTTGTGCTTCCTCGAGTCACAATGCTCGAATCCTCGCCGGAGAATCGTAGTCATTGGTTGGTAAAAAAGCAGTACAGTCAACCGAATGGAAAATCAATCGGGTCGCACGACGATGCCGCGATCGTGGGTGGGTGTGGGGTGCAAAGTGTTACAGTTGATAATTCGATTGGTCGAACAGAGGCGCGCGTCGGGCCGTTCGAACGGTCCTGGCGCCTCCTCCGGGAAAATAGAGGGTTTTCGCTACCTTTTTCTCTCTTCTCGCATACAATCTCGTGCACCATCCTAATCACATCATTTGCACTAAATCACTAATAGTTATAGCTTAAACATTACGTCGCTCCGAGGTCTCCATTTCTCGTCCCCGTTTTCTTTGTATTTTTGTATACAACATTTTTCTCGCTCGGCGCCTCGGCAAAATCACAAAACAAGACGAAAGGAGGAGCCAGCTTGGACGTGCGCGCGCGGACCTCGGACCTTTCGTTCACAGCCTGACCGAGCCGACGCTCCTCTCTCACCTTCGGACGCCTTCAAGACTGGCTCCGCCTTTCTATTTTTCTTTTTTTCTTTTTCTTTCTCTCTTTCATTTATTTTTACATGACGTCCCTCGCGAAGCATCACGTTTGATTCCAAGCCCATTAGGTCTCTGACGACATGTCGTAGGAATAACAGTTTCCGTGTCTTGAATGAATAGTATTGTACAACCTTAGGTTAGCGAAACTGAATGTACAGTATTTCTATGTAAATATCCAAAAGCATGTAAAATGCATGGATGGTGCAATAAATATCTATTTATCTATCTATTTTTTCACTGTCTCACAAAACTGATGCAATATAGAAACTTTCTGTATCATTCTCTTTCGTTCTATCGTCCTCCCTTTCATCTTCTTTTTGTTACAAAGATTTTCGCCTCGCGCGCATTCAATTACCCGCCAACGCCGGGTGGAACGCGAAAGACTGATGATAATAATATCCCCTATGAAAATATCATCATTTGTATCGTTCGTTTCGACAGAAGCACGTGCAACAACGTAAAAGCACAATTTTGCAGGTACTAGAGATTAACAAAAGCCGACTCGAAGAACATGCGCATGTACATCGGCCAACATTCAAGAATTTTTCATAAAACGCGTAAATCGCACCAGCTCACAAACATCGATCCACAACGTAGATTAAAACGAGACTGGGGTGATAGAATTTTTCGCATTTAAATAACAACAACAATAGCAACTAATTTCGTTCTCTCAAGATATTTATTGCGCGTTACGGTAATGTCGTTGCGCTTGAAAATTTTATTATTAAACAAATACCGCGTAACTAAAAAAGAAAAAGAAAAAGCGTTAAGACCGATCACAAAAAAGGAAACATAGTTTCGACCAATGAAAACATAAATATCATCCGAAAACGATCCCTTCGAAACCGTATTTTAAAAATTGCACATATTTTTAAGATGCTTCTCCATTGTTACCATCCGATCGTTGCGTGAAAAACTTTTTTTGTTCGCTTTGCTAATAAAACTATTATCAACAGTCTTTCGTGACGCTATTATTCAAAAAATTCCTATGAGTGATGATGTTACAGAGGGCAGTACAAGTTTGCAAATTGCATTTGTTTAAAGAAGTATCGAAAAAATAGGTGACCTGTCTTTATCTAATTATCGCGGAGTGTAGTACAAAGACTCTCGCGAGCAGCAAAGAATCTTCTCGCAACGGGTTCGCTGGCCAACAAAACAAAAACGAGAACTTTGACAAAGACAAGCTCATAGCTCGCAATGGACTCTAAAGGTCCTTCGACGCTCGAGATCTGCTCTCTGTCCGTGATTTCGAGCGAAGTATATCCATCTGTCCGCGATGGATCCCCTCATTAAGCGCAAATACGAGTTACAGTTCACAATTTACAATTTACAATAGCTCAAAAAAATCCCCGTACACTTCAAACCACTCGAGATTCTTTTCTAAGCCTTGGAAGGATTACACCACTAATCAATACGTACAAGGCTTTTTTTTTAAAAGAAAAATGCATTTGGTTGAAATCGCGAAGAAACTAGTAAAGATCGTCTTTGCGACCTTTTAATCTCGCTCTGTATCGAAAATTCAAAAGCAGGTACATTTTATGAAATTACGTGTACATGTTGGAAGTTTTATCGAAATTAATTGTTACAAAATAAGTTCGTCTGATTTAGTGCGGCTTTTCCTAACAGTGGTAGTGTGGCTATGACAGATTTGTCTCTATGGCAAATCCTAATTTCCTAATTCCAATTCCATTAACACAATCACTTTGGTTTAGTTACATGTGTTAACCGCTTTTTTAACGCCTAGCAACACCACTCAATTTTCAAAAACGTTCATTGCAAAAATGTTCATTGAGACGCAGAGACAAAAAAGCCGTACACAAAAAACAATATGTATTATTTTCCTCGTAAATCCTGCGCGAGTTGCAATTTCCTCAAGATTTTCTATATACACGCGACGTAGCAAGTCGATCCCAATAAGTTCTTGAGGAAAAACTCAAGTGGTTTGATCCGCTTTTGAAAAGTCGCCGCACTTTAAGGAGCGTACGGAGCGTTTTTCGACAGACTGCAGAGGCACGACAGGCAAAAACCCGTGGCGAGAACGTTCGGTGCTTCACACACGCTCGGCAATGGTGGGAAGCGGATACAAATCCCCGTCGATTTGTCGTCGAGTTCGAAGAGGACCATCCCCGACTCGTTGGCATCAGTAGAGATCACACAGTTTCATCGTGGCCACGTCAACATACCTATGCATTCAGGTACGCGCGCTCAGATTTCCCGACAGCGGGAGAACGTATCCCCCCTCCTCCCCCCCGTTTTACATGGTGTTGTAAACCGGACTATTATGCCTAGGCCTGACCTGCAGCCTGGCAAGAGGATGCGTCCTGCCGTGCTGTTGTTGCTTCTTGGTGATCGGGACGACGCTGGTCGAGGGAACCGGCGGCCTGCCAGGTGCTTCCGTCGTCTCGGTGAACAAAGAGGACGACAGGTTGATCGGCGCCGACCTTCTACTGAATTCAACAGTGGCTTTCGACTTCCTCGAGTCCGGCTTCACCTGAAACTTGCCGACGAGAACGCGGACCGACCGGTCCTCCGTGCTGTCCTGCGACGACGCGGCCGGCTTTTCTTCTTCTTTGGTTTCGGACGGGGCCTGAATCTTGGATTCATTGTGCGGGATCACCGGCGACGAGGGCAGACTTCGGATCTTGACATCCGACTTGGTGGACTTCGCTTCGAACTCCTTCTTGAGATTCTTGACGATGCCGGAGGTGCTTCGCGGGCACTCGGCCTCCGGCGAGTCGTCGACAGGCAGACAACGCTTATTGTAAATCGACTTGTTATTAAGATTCTCCAGAACCATCTTGTGATGCTTCACGGAAGGACACTGAGTGGTGTTGACGACGCAGGGACTGGAGGTCTCGCTCTCCGATCTGCAGGACCTCAACGCCGCCGGGAGGTCCGATTCCGAGGAGAGCGAGGACGGCTCCGGCGCGCTCGTCGACAGTCTGCCGACCTGACGGATCGAGGGAGACGAGATGTCGATTCCCCTAATGGGACTCGGCGAGTTTCTAACAGTTCCTTTCGCGTCGACCTTAAAATTATTCTCTTGGCTAGGCGAGGAGTCCCTGCTCCGCGAGGTAGGGGATCCCGCCCGGTGCAACAGCACAGGATTAAACGATTCCTCCTCGACGGGCAGTCGCTCCTTGCTCTCGGGGTCCGAGGTCTGTGTGCACACGCGCTTTACCGTTCCCGAGGATGTGTTCTCCTCGAGCTTCTGCTTGGTGCGCTTCACCGTGCCTGGGTGCCAAGGTATCTCTTCCTTGTCGTAAGGAAACAAACCGCTAGAGCCAAGGGGGTCCGATGATCGTAGGTCATACGAGCCCCAGGAACTGTTCCTCGACGGTAGCGTCGCCCAGGAACTGTGTACCGAGTTGTTCTCCAGGACCACGGCACTGTCATAACTGTTCCACGAGCTTTGCCGGCTCGGAGAGTCCCTCGTGACCGGTTCTCCGTGCCTCTCCTCCCGGTCGAACACTCTGTCCACCTGCGTGCTGAACGGGTCACCGTCTTTCCTCGGTTTCCGGCCCGCCGCCACCGCTGCCGCCGCCGCCGCCGCTATCGCTGCCGGGCACATCGTCATTATCGCGACACACTCACTTTCCGCACTCACTTCGTCGTTAGTCTTATCGTTACTACACAAATTGGTACACGTTGCATCGGACGATGCAGTCCAGACTAGACATTCACTATTGTTACCACTCTCCGTTTTCTTGGCTGGCTCCTTGTCACCGGGGTCCCAGACGTCCTGTTTCGCCTCCGACGTCTGCTGCGCTACCAGACCGTTCTCCTGTACACCGGCGATCGGGCTCTGCGCCCGCGGCTTATTGTCGCTGTCCGAAGTCGGGGAAGACGGCTTGCTGTTCACACCTTCGAACTGACTCGTCAGGTTCAGCACCAGACCTTTCCGCTTCTGCCCTTGCGTCTCCAGCTTGCTGATTCTATTCTTGACGCTCGGTATATCGGGCGAAGGGCTCGGCAAATGAACGATCTTGTTCTGCGAAACGCTGTACGACTGACCGTTCCCGAATGGCATCAGAACGTTCCGTGCCTCCTGAGCCATGTCCGACTTCTGGTTCGTAGACCGGAGAAGATCCTCCCGAGTCACTTCCGTGCTTCCGGTCTTGTCTATGCTTTCCAGCGACTGTGACAGCGGAACTGCAACGAAATTCGATGGGATTAGCAACTGTGGGCAAGCGTGCTGCGGATCATCTTAACAATCTAGTCGGACTTTATTCAACGGCAGTTTATAAAGCTATGGTATTCTGATGTTTCTTAACTATTGACTCTATATCGTCTAAACTGTTTCTTCTTTTTACTTCAGAATTTAATGCAATATTATATAAACATAAATTAGTGTTTCACCGTGTAGGATAAAATTAACAGAACGAAACATGCGCTGTTTGAATTAACCCTTTGTACTATAGATTTCGTACATAATCTAGAAAATACCAATGCCAACTGGAAACAAAATTGTATTATTTCATGACAAAAATCTGGGAATGAAAGTAAATGAAAAAATATAAGCAACAACAATTCTATTAGGGAAATGTTAAAGATGTAGAAATGCTAATTAAGATAGCTATCAAGAACCATAGCGCAAAGGGTTAAACGTACTTCTCTGCGCAATTAATAATTTTAACGTATGTACTTTTGCTCGCCCACCAGAGAATTATCGACAAATCATAAGCTTACTGCAATACTATATGATTCAAACATATTTCCACGTATGACTTTACAACTTGTGTGTAGAACAATTGGGAAATACCACAATCTTTCTTACGTACCAATTTTGGCATTACTCGTTGATGCGAACCAGCAAATTATGTAACTAGTGGGAAAAGTCAATTTTGAGTCTGTCTCCTCTTTGTAGGCGTATTTTGTTGAAGTTCAACATCTCGGGAACGTGTTCTTAAAATTGTTCCGTTAGACAAAAACCAGCTAAGTAACATACATACTGTAGAAACTACAATCTTCAACGACACATTGTTCTCCCGCAGTTTCTTCAAGTTTAACATTTCAGAAATCTGTTCCCAGATCGTTCTCTTCGAAACCCAGCAAAGTAGGTAGAGAAATACTGTAGAAACTACACGATCTTCTACAGCACAATGCCATTGGATTTTCTTCGAACTTTTCTGATGTCTTAAACGTGTTCCCCAATTGTTCTGTCAACGAGACAGCAAAGTGTAATAGAACTACTGCAGAAACTACGATCTTCTACGTCTCCAAACATACTTCTCAATACAGGGTGTTTCAAAGTTTACTAAGCTCCAGGAAAATTGCCACATCTTCATGACCTACCGTCAAATAAAGTGATTAAGAAAGTGACGAAGCGTGAAGGTAGCATGTTGCGAAGCATTACATACCAGAAGGTAACATATTTTCAGTGGTGGTCAGATTCGGCGACCAACTCTTCGGCCTCTGGCTCGTTTTTTTCAGCTCGAGCCCCGACACGGTTTGCAGGCCGCTACATGCGTTACCCGACTTCTCTTCCTTTTTCAGCTGGTCCTTCGTCGACGTAGGTGACTTCAGGTTCGTGTCCGACTTCGATCGTTGTAGCTTCTCCTTGTTCTTCATGGCGTCCAAGATACCCTGGTAGGTCTCCAGCTGCAGCAGGAAGCTGTTGTTGGGCTTGATGCAGTTCCGCTTCTCCTTCACGTGTTTCCACGCCTGAGAGAAGTCCCAGTTGTACGCCTTCATCGCGTACGCAATCACCACCGACGCGGATCTGGAGACACCCATTTTGCAGTGCACCAACACCTTCGAGCCCTCTTTCTTCGCCTTGGTGATGTACTTGAACGTGTCGTCCCAGTGTTTCAGTAAGTCCGTCTTCTCGTCGTCGTAGACACGAACGTTCAAGTACGTGAACATGCCCGGAAAGAAGTTGTCGATCTCCCTGGTCACGTTCAGGATGTGCCTAACGCTGGACACGGAAAGCGCATAATTACTTCCAGTGAATTTCAGAGTTCAAACGTCAGAAGATAAGGTTTTCGTAGCGTCCCTTTTCAGGGATTTCAGCGCTTACGATTTTGCAAACGGTTAACCCTTAGAGCTCTATGGACGCATATATGCGTTTGGCGAAAGTCATCCGTGTAGCCGAAGGCCGCATTTATGTGTTTTCTCTAAGTGATCGGCCTGGACTAAGGGCGCATATATGCGTTTGTCGATTTTTTTTTAATCATTATGCAGTTATTTTCGTGTAAAATTAAAATAAAATGCCTTCCTTAGGTAGCGGTTGGGCAATATTAGGGTGATAAAAATCCCCGGGAGTTTTCGAAACGGAAATCCCATTTTATATGTCCCACTCTAACTAATTAGATTTCAAAATAATTACCTGCACCGTCACCTTTTCGCGACTCAAAGCACTCGAAACGACTCAGTCAGCAGTATCGTCTTGTATAATTTATTACTATAATTTATTACTGTTCGCGCCCCTTGAATAATCACTTCAGTGTGGCAAAAAAGTATTCCGCACCCAGCGATGGTCAGCGACAGCCGCGCTCCGTCCCTACGAATCGTTTCGGCCAGGAGTATTCAGAGCTCAAAAGGTTAATCCTTCACAATTTTTGAAGGAATACTCTGACCCGAGATTATCCGGGTCACCCAGACCCAGTTCAGTTTTCAAACAACTCTGTCATTTGAAAACTAGCAACGGACTCAAAAATTTCGGAATATAATTTGAACGTTCCCATCGTTTCCATTATTAGAACTCGTTATCTCATTTCCAAGCATATTTATTTAATCGTTAATTTCATTCTTATCACTTTCACGAAGTGTGGAACATTTTGACCCAGTGTGGCAGCAGAGGTTTAAAGGTACAATTACGTAATTGTGTAATGAACACATAAGAAATTACATAAAACATAAAAATTACATAAAAATTACAAAACACAAATCACATAAAAATTATGTAACAACGAGTACAGTAGAACCTCGATTATCCGATCCTCCAATGTTAGAATTCTCTGTTATTCGCATACGTATCAGCATGTAACTGGTCAAATTTAAAGCAGTGCACGTGCGAACAGATTTAATGTATAAATAAATAAAGATTAATTTTGGTGCTGTAACTGAGTAACTGTTACATTATCCGAACATTCGTACGACTGTGCTTGACTCAGAGAATCGAGATACTATTGTAAGTATGCGTAAAAATGAGATTCGTATCTAATTATAAGTATTTAGAAGATAATAGAGATGGAGACTGCAGGAACTGATTCAGAAAGTATTTCACGACACAAACGCTCCGCGAAATTGGCATTGCAGATTCGGAGATTTCATACGTAACAAAGCTAATAATTATAGATTTTTATGTAAGAGATTCGAGGGCGATAAGACGAACGTACCCATTCTTTTGGAGCTCCTCCAAGTTGCTCGCGTTCCACTCGCTTCCTAGATAAACATGGTCGAATATTTCAGTCGGCGCGTCCATTTGACCCAGAATGGTCAGCATTTCCTGATCGATGAATGGCTTAAACTCCCCGAGATCCATATCGAGATCTTCCTCGAGACGACCTCGAATGTACTTCGAGGTCACCTCGTCGAGGTCTACGGACATCATGATCTCCTTCAACGTCGACCGGATCACGCGTTCAGTCTCGTCCCTTTCTCTGGGCCTATTACAAACAGAATAAAAACGTTATAGGTATTTATTGCTTATATATTAATATATATAATATTAATTATTATTTATTAACGTTATAGGACATTTTCAACATTCGCACGCTCCAAGTTAATCCTTTTACATATCGATCTTGCGCTCTAAATTCATCCTTTCGTAAATCATATTCAACTTTGTTCACTGCAAATTAATACTGTAAATCGTTATTCAACATTTTGCTAATCAGATTAATCGTTTCGCTGGACTTATTCACCTTTCTGCAAACGAGATTCGCCCTTTCGCAAATTGAATTTGCTTATTTTGTAATTAAAATTGTAACTAAAATTCATATTATATCTCAAAATTGAATGACATTTTATGAATAATTATCGAAGATTGGGGAAGATTCATTTAATTTGTATCATTTAAAAATTGAATAAACGACGGTCAGTTTTGATCCATGAAGGGATTAACTGTCGATGCAAAACCGAAATGTATGTACTAAATCAACAATAAGTCCACAATGTTTTTTAGACAATTACACATCGTAACATTTTTTTAGAATGTACAGGATCTGCCTTGTACCTTATTCAATTTTACATTCTAGCATGGCCAACAATGTTTTATTCGTAATCTTGTATTTTAAACAAATGCATCGAATCACAAATCCATCATTGAACTAGTCAAAATGCGTGGTATTTAAAATTCTCTTTAACAATTACAAATATTTATAATACTCCGATGTCACTTGAAGCTCGAAAATAACCGTTCCCGCGACATTCATACTATAAAAATTATAACTGCTCGAATTGTTCCAATTATTTAAAAGAAAATGTGTTACTCAGAAAAACAAAAATTAGTTCCTACGTTCTCGCTTAGTTTAATATTACTAGACTGCAGATTTTATGAATTATATATTTTGTATAGTTTGTATGATTTGTATATTTTGTAATTTTTGTGTATATATTGTATAGTTTGTAAGCTTTATATATTTTGTATGTTTTGTGTATGTGTGTGTGTATTTCGTATATTTTGTATACTTTATATATTTTGTTATAAACATAATAAAACACGGGTACAAGAAGTACAAAATTATAATAACCATATTTAGATCAACCCCCCCTCCCCCACCAATAGACTTAGCAAATTTTTATTTTGCATTAAGATCCGCAGTTTAACTATCACAAAAACATATTTACAGAAGCAACAAAAGTGGGATTAACCTCCGATCTAATTATAAATAGATTATCATCATGGAAGTCGTTATCAGAATTAATTGGTAAGGGAAATGAACGTTCTATATTTATAAGTGTGTATATTTCCACGTATATTGCACGATCGCTAAGAAAAGCAAGTTAGGAGGAAAAATTAATTTATGTAGCATATATAAAGTAGTTGACATTACACGCCCTTGACATTTCGAAGGAAAAAACATGGCCGTATAATCTTGTCGAAAGCAAACCACTTCCACAAGGAAACGGCTTCCGTTAGCTCGTATCGAATTTCGCTATAAAATGCATTCTGCAATCTCAACTATTCGCAACCAGTTCTAGAGCCTGGCTGCGAAGTATCGCAAGACCGAATGTGTGGATGTGGAATTACTGTTCACACAACACGTGGCAAATAGACGCAGAAACTCGAAATAATCGAAGGCGACTAATAAACGCGGCGCGTTTACGTCGTTAACGTTGCGCGATCGTGCCGCGATCAAAAACGCTGAAGATGTCAACAAAACGTCGACTTTGGCAAAACGTCAAGCTGAATCCGCATCAATGGCCAGGCGGCTGTCAATCAGTTTTCGTTGCAAACATCGTCGATTCACGCGAGTCATGCTGTACCATCTTAGGCCAGGATCACGCGATCGTTAAATCGTCCACACGTTAGTTGTCTCTCTTTTATTTACTAGCGGAAAACAAGGAAAATCTGTCCTTGTTTTTAACTAAAGAAACAAGGAAAGACGACTGATGTCCGTTCTTTTTTTCGACGCTCGTGTGACGTTGGCTTTAAGTGAATCGCAAATTTTATTCATTTATGGTGCAAATTATTAGTTGTAATTTTAAACAGTGGACGAACTGAAAGTATCGGAGAGTGTCGATGAATTATTTCCGGTCTAGAAAAATTAGCGGCAGCTAGCATAAGAGGGGGGATATGTAAACACAAACGTGCCTTCTTATCGCGTGGGGTCTATATGTTTGCGCAAACTTTTGTCGTCTAGAAAGCAACATAAGCCGTAATATATGCGATAAACGTGCAAATAGAACTTTGAAGGATTATTGTGGAGAAATTATTGTGTACATTGTTTTTGAAGTATGTACTTTCATCTATCAATTTTATAAGATTCATTAACCCTAGAAAGATAACCATATGACAACGTACGTAAAAGATAACCATACGCTTCAGAGGCGCATGCTTTTCTAAGGCGTCAATTTTATACTAACAATGGATATTTATTTAAGTTAATCTAGTCATTTTAAAGGTTTGGCATTATTGTAAAAATAAAATGCATTTATATTATATTTTTTTATATTTTAAGTAATTTTAGACTTAAATCACTAGACCTCTATGAAAAATTAACAAAAATCAACAGTCTTCGCAGGCGCCTCTGCGACGTAGGTTATCTTTCTCGGGTTAAGACATTAAGGAAATTAATGATAAAACAGTAAAATGTTCCAAAATGGCTTATTTTTGCACCTATAATGTCCACCGATGATTTTTGTGTGAATCAGAAAAGAGGTTCCTTTGAAATACGTTTTTATCGTAGTTGATATTGAAAATAACATTTATCAAAAATGGAAATTCTTTCGTGAAATACAACTTCGATATTAAAAATTGTTCACTTTAATTTGTGACTAGTAGTTCTTTATTCAATTTTTGAGTAGATGCGATTGAAAACAGTGAAATGATTGAAAGAAACTAAAAATGTTGATGTATTAATTTGAATTTATTGAAATTATTAAGAAATGATACAAGATTTTTCCCCGCTTCTACGTCTCGCAATTGATGCGTGCGATTTATATTTTACGTAAAAATCCACAGTTTGGTCATAACAATTAATCTGTGATATTTGACTCTCGTGCATCCTTCGGATGAAAATTCGCCCATTATCGTTTTTAGAAAAGTGCATTTGTTTAAAACGTGAGATTGATCGAATTAACATCCAAATAGAAATGGACGAATGCAGATATTTCTGAAAAATGTTTAAATGTGTAACAAAATTCTCATAAGCAAAACTACATGATTTTATCAGTAACGTCTGTATTCGAATAGTATTAAATATATATGTATGTCACATGAAAATGATCTGTATCAATTTATTTATTTATTGATGCTTTAAATCAGATGGTTTATTTAGGAATCTGCATCAATTGTGAGATACAGAAGGCGAATGAAAATTCAATTGTATCTTTAATAGTTTTACTAAGAGTAGAAAACAGTATGTCGATGTTATTAAATTCATTTAATCATTTCACAGTTTTAACCCCTTCCTGCATAACCAATTAAATATAAATGTTATTCGTTTCGTCTAATTCGAAATAAAATTTGCTTCTTTCCTGATCAAAAACTAGAGACAACATTAAATGAAGTCGTAAAAGAAGCAAAACATCTCGTTTTATTAGGGTAAACAAAATCGTAATGCAAGGTCATTCATTACCGTTTTTAGAAATACAAACGTGATACTCAGGCGGCAACCGTCTCATTTAAATATGTTTTTCTAATAATATATATATATTATTATATAATATATATATATAATAAATATATAATATAATAATAAATATAAATAAAATATTATATAATATTAATAATATTAATATTATATATTAATGCAATTAAAATATTATTATTAATATTATTATTATTATTATTATTATTATTAATATTAATGCAATACAAATATTATATAATAATATATATATTATAATATATTCTAATAATAATGCTACTGCCATTTATTACGGTCTCCGCAATAAATATTTGCTAAAAATAACGTATCCCTTTTAGAAAAATTGCAAAAATGATTTGAAAACAATGCAATACGGTTTAATATCCACGAAATTAGTTGCTCGGCCTGGGACACGTGTGACGCTAGCGGCAAACGAGATGAAAATGTCTGGAACGTCGGTCGGGACTCACTTGGTGCGTACGCTGTCCGGTGACGGTGGTCTTCGGGATTCCAGATTGTCCATAGCATGCCACTCGTTGAGACACGAGCGATCGCTCTCGATTCGTTCTTCATAGTAACTGACCCAGTCGTGTGACAGGCCACCCAGGAAGTAGTTCTGTTCGCGCGCCTTACTCGAAACCTTGTGCAACGTCTGCAAGGCCGACCTGAAACAAAAATCGGCATGCACCGCGCTGTAACCGAGAACGAACTAATACACCGGGAGAAGTGAACGCCGGGTTTCTACACGTACAGCGTGCCTCGTCTTATTCAGAGTTGGGCACAATTTTGTTCGGACGACGGATAAGAGATAAAGACTAAAAACGAATTAGATCTGATTCGACGCTACCGAATAAATAAATCTAATCGAATATAAAATTGAGAGAGAGAAAGAGAGAGAGAGAGAGAGAGAGAGATACATAACAATTTATTCGAATGAGATTTTATTCCTACAAGAATTCATCCGTAAACTAATCGATTTGGATGAAAATGATAAGAGTATAAAATGTTTTTTTCCACAGTTCATTAATTAATTACTTTCATGATAATTTTTACAATTAACCTTTTCCCAAATTTGCTACTTTTGGGTAGATCATTGATGCATAACTAAATCATTTTTCTATAACATGTACGTTCGTGTGTTTCGCGTGTCTTTGTTCGTATAAATATGTTCTTGTAGAATTATATAAAAACAAAAACGATCAACAATTATTTACATTATTATTCGAATAATTTTAAAATATCTATTTGAATAGTTTATTCGAATTTTGTAATCTCTATTCGAATAAAGAAGAAATAATTATCCAGATAAATGGATAGAATAATTTGTTACAATTTAATCGAATAATTCTATTTGATTCAAATATTCGACTAAACAGAATTCATTCGAATATAAATATTTCATATAAATATCTCATGTAAATATTTCATATGAATATTTCATGTAAATATTTCATATAAATATTTATTCGAAACAAACCAAATATTGCCAAGATCAAATATAGAAAGTTTAATATTTCTTTCTTTAAAAAAATCTGTAAAAATTGTTTAAAAAACAGCATACGAAGCAGAATACGAGAAGTTAAAGATTATCAGAGCGGTTATTTCGTTAATTCATTTAGACTTCACTAATCCAAGTGAAATTCGGTCTACTTAACTACATTGTACCGAAAATAAACATTCAATCGTGGATAACGAATCGTATCAATTTTTATTATACTAAAATATAGGAAACTGTTCGCAAGAAATTGAAATTTTGTCTTTTACGTGCTGCTGCTTTTGTATTTGTCAGTGTCTTTCGTATATGTTGGTCACGAGCAATGATCATATTTGCAATAATAATCGTTATCAATGTTTATTTCAAAATCTCCTTTATTAGCGATATTTTCGAAATCGCTAAAGGAACGATTGCCTTATTACTCGGAGGTATCAGCTTTAACACATTCAGCGGTGATGCGCTACTTCAGATTAGTCATTAGTCGATAGCGTGAATTAACCGAATCATGTGGATAAACGTAAAGTAAATGTCTATATAAGGAGATATAAGTAGTTTATATTTCACATAGCCGAGCAGTCTCATCGCTATTCAGCAAACGTAGCTGCGGATTTCACGCATTCGCGACAATAATCAGTATCTGTAATGTTAAATAGTAAGAAGATTAGAAACATTTAATAACTTCGCGATATACAGGGTGAGTCTCGTAACATGAGGACCTCAAATAACTTACCAAATATTTGTTTCACGAAAGAATATTTCAGATAGAAGTTGCATGGCTTCCAGAGGGGCATGTAGTATAGCAATCAGTTTTATGTTATTTTGCTTTTTTACCAAGATATGAAGGTCACCTTCAAATAAATAAATAAATATATATATATATATATATATAAATGGAATAGCTTACTATCTCTTCCCAAATGGGATCTCCTAAGATGGGGTCTTCTATTTGAAACGTTTATTTCGTTTCGTATTTTGCTTTTTTACCAAGATATGAAGGTCACCTTCAAATATATATATATATATAAATGGAATAGCTTACTATTTCTTCCCAAATGGGATCTCCTAAGATGGGGTCTTCTATTTGAAACGTTTTTTTCGTACAACAAATATTTGATGAGTTAGTTGAGGTCGTCATGTTACGAGACTCACCCTGTGTAGAGGGATATAGAGAAAATGCTGTCCCTTTATGGAAAACGCTCCCTTTTTTCTGCAAGTATCCGATATCCAAATCTATTTTGTTTTCGAATTCTTTCTTTTTTACGTCTATTAGCACTGTTCACGTTTTTATCTCTTTTCAACATAAAAGTGAAAAACGATAAAGAGCGGGTTAGAATCATTGAATTGCACAAGGGAGGACTGAAGAACGCCGACATTGTTGTGACTATCGGATACGAAAAAACGAAAGTAGAGAGAGAGAGTGGCAGAAAAAAAATAAAAATGACTAGTACTGCAGGTAGAAGATCTCCCAGCAATCATCCAAGTCAACAAATGAGTTCAAACAAGCTTTATACAATGTGTGCGACAATCATCATTTTCGAAAATGTAAATTTTATTATTTCTGATTAATATGTTTGTTAAACTAGTAAAATATATAGAATATTGAATTGAAGTGTCCTTATTTCCAAAGCAGCTAAATATAGATATATAGATTTATAGATGGAATTTTCTCCGTATAACTACTAACTAATACTACTTTCAAGTGACTAAAATTATTAACGAAAGAATTCAATCCCACTTTCTGCTGTCAGATGAAGAAAACATTTATTTCGCATAAAAATCCGTATCCTAATCGTTAAATAAAAAAATGACAAGTCGATCAATAAAAAAGACAATGCTTTAAACTAAATTTATGTTATAATTTCCTCATAAAAGTTCACTTTTTATTTGGAACTTCGAATCAAATAAAAATATCAGCAATATAATCAGGAACTTAACGTTCGATAAAAAATATTCATGCATTTCAGCAAATACCGCTGATGGAACAACCACAGATTTATAGGATTAGCGAAGAGCTTATTTAAACCGAATGTACACCTTTTCACTTCCGGACGATCATCGCGGATGATTCATCGAAAAATACCGTTTTTATCCTTTTTAATCTTTCATCTTTCACATTCACTGTGGATGAATCATCCACGATGATCGTCCAAAGTGAAGCGATGCGAAATCGGGTTTATCCCGTCTAATTAACCCTTTTTAACTGCGGTCGAGTTTTATTTGTTATGCGGATGACTCCGAGGTATTGGATTAAAAAGGATACAAAAAGAGAAACAAAAATTAAAGAGGAAAAAGTATTTGTATCAATATTGGATTACATTTTCAGGAAATGTGGCCGACTGTTGTATTTAACAGAGAAGTGGTAAAACAAACCTAAATTAAAAAGATATTTCACCCGCTAAATTTTACAAGATATTTATAACGCGGATTCCACATTGCCCGCGCATAGTGGTCTGGGAATTCGCATTCCGTGACCGAAATTATTTTAGCGTTGTTTCAAGGTTTGTCTCGATATCGGCTGGAATATTATCAAGTCAACAACATGTATTAACCCTTTGCATTCGAATGACGACTCTGAGGCGCCACTGAAAATTGCTATACCATTTTACGAGGTAGTTTTTGCATTATTAAACTGGCTTATATTTAAAGAGTTGTTAAAACTGTAAGTATGAAAGAGCAAATAAGCCCAATTTCATATATACACATGCAATACAAAAGTAATAAAAAATCAAAATGCTATACGCTGGAAGCAATATCTTAGTTTTGAAATTAGAACAGGGATAACATTTAGAAAATCGAGACGACCAGTTTCTTGTATGACAACAAATTCTTTTTGCAAACTTCTATATTCTAATTTGTAGGAAAATCATGGTTTGGTTTGAAATTGAATACGAGCGTCCAATGACGAACGCGCTCATCGCTTGACTACTTAGCCAGGCGTCGAAACACTGTCGACATCTATTTGTTAAAATTATTCTACACGAGAAGGTCCGGTAAGAATTAATAGTTGAATATCTCTCTTATTTTTGGAGTTACAATTGTTTTAAATTTGACGCTATTTGTAGACGGATCAAAAGTGCGATTAAAATTAGATTCAATGCTTCAAATGCACCAGCCAATAATATACAATATCTTCGTTGAAATTAGTTTTCTAATATTCTACAATTGGTGTGTAAAATGTTTAATTTTACTTTGAATTTTATGATTATCTTAGCACAGAAACGTCTAAAACGTATAACGTTTTGGACTTGGGAGCTTTACACTTTCTTCTTAGTTAATAGCAAAGCAAACATTTTGGTGGGCTAATTGGTCAATTGGAACGCACCGGGTAATACTCATCGATAAGTAAGTTGTCTATTTGTTATAAATAGAACCGGATACAAATATTTCAAGTAAGAAATACAAATATTTGCAAATACTATTTCTCACAACTGTGTTGCATATGCTTCATTTAGAACAATAATTTATGTGAACCTGAAATATTTGATTGAGATTAACATTTTCTTTATTGCGTGCGAAATGAACCACTCGAATATTATTTCCATGAAATTTGACCGATCGAGTAACTAACGAACGAATGTTCCAATTGCATTCGTTAATTAAGAGAAATGTAAGAAGAAGCTTATTTTTCAAAACTCTTCCATAAACATGTATTAACCGTGAGAAATACGACTACAAATAATTAAATAGAAATTTAGATACACGAAATACTATTTCAAATAATTATTTCCAGTACATCTTAAGAGAGAGAGAGAGAGAGAGAGAGAGAGAGAGAGAGGGGGGGAGAGAGGGAGAGAGAGAGAGAGAGAGAGAGAGAGAGAGAGAGAGAGAGAGAGAGAGAGAGAGAGAGAGAGAGAGAGAGAGAGAGAGAGAGAGAGAGAGAGAGAGAGAGAGAGAGAGAGAGAGAGAGAGAGAGAGAGAGAGAGAGAGAGAGAGAGAGAGAGAGAGAGAGAGAGAGAGAGAGAGAGAGAGAGAGAGAGAGAGAGAGAGAGAGAGAGAGAGAGAGAGAGAGAGAGAGAGAGAGAGAGAGAGAGAGAGAGAGAGAGAGAGAGAGAGAGAGAGAGAGAGAGAGAGAGAGAGAGAGAGAGAGAGAGAGAGAGAGAGAGAGAGAGAGAGAGAGAGAGAGAGAGAGAGAGAGAGAGAGAGAGAGAGAGAGAGAGGGAGAGAGAGGGA